AGGAATGCAACTGGAAATGCAACTCCAGCTCCCTATTGCTTTGGAGGCTGCCTTTCCATGGCTGAGTCTCACTGGGATGGAGGCAGAACAGCCATGGGAAAACCTGGCACGGGTCGGACCTCGTGGCACTGCTGGTGGGTGCGATGGCACATGGGGACTCACTGCCTGCCCAGGACACACCAGGGGCTTGGGTCAGAGCCATGCAAAGCTGATCACCCACTGAGCCCAGGACACGAGGTAGCACAGGGGTGACCTGCCTGGCAAGGAGTGTTCTGAGATTATTTGGTGTTCAACAGGCTGGTGGGAAGGAGAAACCTTCCTGGGTTGTGCCGGGGCAGAGTGGGACTCAGAGCCCTGGCAAGGCAGCATCCAGCACCCTGGGGATGTAAGGGGCAGGATAGGGGCTTTATTTTTTTTCCCTCTTTCTTGCTTTCATCTGGAAATTCCACCTGGAAATCTGACCCAGCCAAACCAAAAGAGAGCCCATTGCCTCTTGCCAGAGGTTGCTCTGCTCTCCAAGGGGGGAAATCCCAGCTCAGCAGGGAGGAAAACAAGTCTCCTGTCTCACTGTACCCCAGGGATGGAGCCACCCCTAGCACATCAGGATGCAGGTGCTGGATAATTCCCTTCCAGGAGCAGGTGATGGCAGGCAGCAGCAAGCATTGCCCCTGTGATGCCAGGACAGGAACCAGCAAGGATGGACCTGACAGCCAAAATCTAGACACCTTCTGAGGCATTTCTTCCACCTCCAAGTGCTATGCAGCATTTCAGTCACAGCAGAGACAACCCCCTTCCCCCCACCAGGGACAGCTTTAGCCCTGAGTGCCAGGAGGCTCAGAGAGGGCTCAGGGGTTTAGCCAAGGTCCCCCCTCATCCCTCACTACCTCCAGGCAGCCTGGACATCCACTTGCTCCAACCTGCCACTGGCCACCACATCACCCTGCCCAAGGTGCACCATCCCCAAATGTCACTGCAGGGTGCCAGTGCCGGTGGGAAGCGAATCCCAGAGTGCCTCCAGGACAGCTCCCACACACCATCAACCCCATGAAGAGTGGAGACACTGGTGCTTGCTGGGGAGCCACAGCACCAGAGGATGTGTGGCCATGGGGCATGGCCAGGTGTCCATCAGGGCAGGGGGGCTCACATGATGGTGCATCGGTTCCTGCGCAGGGCACCCTGGAAGCGGATGGTGGTGTGGACGTGCTTGCAGCGGGCACAGCCCACACTCTTGAGGAGCTCACTGAAGAGCAGCAGGATGTGCCAGTTGTACTTGGCCGAGCACTCGATGTAGCCACACTTCCATGTCTTCTTCACCAGGTTGGAGACGTTCCAGCGCGGGATCACCCGGCCCCGCTGCAGGTCCCGCTTGTTGCCCACGATGATGATGGGTGTCTCCGAAGTGCCAATGACCCTGGGGAGAGCAGGTGGTGAGGGAGGACAGAAGGGGATGGGCCACAGCATGATAACTGAGCAGCCCACAGAGTTCAACCCATCCTAAACCAGCTCTTGGCTTTGACTTGCCAAGAGGAGCATTCCTCTCCTTGTCCTGCTCCCTTGTCCCTCTCCATGGCCAGCCACCCACCATGCCATCCCCAGCTGCTCTCCCAGGGATGGCTGCCCTCACCCACAGGGGATATCTGCCCGGGGTCCTGCTCCTTCTCTTGCCTTTGATTTTGGGCTCCCAGCCCTGGAAAGGGGCTTTGTCCCAGTCTAATATCTCATCTCTGATTTCAAGGGCCTAGGACTGGTGGGCTGAGCAGTACCCCCTTGCCAGGAGCCATGGGGCCATACCATCCTGCCAGGAGCTGCAGGGCAGGATGCACCATCCAGCAAAGTGGTCCCTACCTTGTTTCCAGGATCTGCTGGCGGATGGTTTTGATGTACTCGAAGCTGTCAAAGCAACAGATGTCATAGACCAGGATGTAGGCATGGACACTCCGGAGCCCCCTGCAACACACGTCTGCCCACTCCTGCAAGATGCAGAGAGGGATCAATCCTGGCTCAGCCCTGCTGAGCCTGGGAGATGCCCCACACTTCTCTGGGTATGGGCACGTCAAGGAGGTTGCTGTGGCAGCAGGCAGCAGGGGGACTGCATGTTCTCCAGCCCTGACACCCCTCACCCAGCTCACTTCTGCTCTGACCTGTCCCTGCAATGACTGCACCTGCCCCCACAGCCCTTCAGTCTTCTCCCCATCTCCAGAGATCCCTTATCCCCCTCGTTAATCTAGAGGAGAGGTAACAGGATTTGTCAGCCCCAATTCCTCTCTTGAGCAAGGATTACAGCCTGCCTAACACACAGCAGTGAGCTGGGAGCAGAGCTGATTGCAGCTTCATTGTCCAGAGCTACTAATTAGGTGTGACAATTAGTGATGCACCCTGGGTGCAGGGCAGGTGAGGAGGATGCTGAGCCCTGTCCCCATGGGTCTGCGGGTGATGGACCAGCAGCTCCATGGGTCAGAGGGGGAAGGTGATGGCAGGTCTTTCTGGAGGGGACATGGGGACAGGAGAGGAGAAGTGGCTGCAGGAGTGAGATCAGGATCCAGAGCACAGGCAGGCAAAATTTAGAACTGTAAGAAATAAATGCTGTTAGAAAAGCTTTGGGTTTCAGGGAATAACAGGAGAGGTTTTTTCATTCTATAAGAGTGAAAATCCACCCCACTTCCAGCCACTTTCCTATCCCAGCAGTGGGACCAAGGAACAGCAGCCTCTGCAGTCAGCACTGCAAACCCTCCTGAGCACCTCTGGAAAGGAGAAAGATGCTCCAAGGAGCAAAGGAATCACTTCTCCTGAGCAAACCCCTTCAGAACCATGAATCAGCCCTTTCTGAGTTTATCACCAGAATGAGGCAAAACAAGACCTAGGACTGAAGGGAATTGGGAAAAGGGGAGTTTTAGGGTACAAGTTTGTCTCCATTGCAGACATCAGCACGGGAAGGAGCAGCATGACACAGTCCCTCTCTGTCCACCGAGGGGAGATCCTGTGTACCAGAGAGACACAGGCAGATGGAGCAGCAGCACCTCAGGTTACTCTGAGTCCTGATACACCTGGGAGATTAACAAACTGCAGCTATTTCCCCACACCAGGGTGCAGCTTGCTCTGGCACTGTGATGTCAGTATGGTTTCCCCATGTGGTGCGTATTGCCCGGGATGCTTGAGCTGGGGAAGGGTTGCACTGCAGGAGCAGGATGCTGGAGAGCTACTGGCTCCTGCTCCTCTTCCAGGATATCACTGCAGGGATGTTTCTCCTGGGCATGGAGCAGAGCCTAGTGATGCTTTCCAGCAGACAGATCCATGTCCCCCACCATGGTTCTCTCATTTCCCCCTGAGCCATCCCTCTGATCACCCTCTCTTCCCTGGAATCCTCCATCTGTTCCCCCTGGCCTCCTCCTCTTAAGCACAGCAAGGCAGGGAGTTAATCGTGTGTGTTAGCATCGGCTGCCGTGTCAATAAATTACCCTTTGCTATTCTGGGCTGTCTCTCACTCTGACCTTTCGTTCCCTGCACTCACCGATTAATTTATAAACCTGCTCCTTGCCCCAGAGCATGGCACAGGGACTCTTGGAGCATTACATGGCCCCTGTAACCCTGTCCCCATCAGGCACAGGAACACTATAATTAATTGAGGTGGCCCCACTAGTGGCATTGCCCTCCAGTGTGGCTGCAGCCACGTCTGGGTTCCTCCAGCTCCTTTCCCCACAGCAGTGACTCAACTTGTGCTCCTGGAACACAGCTATGGCATGAGCTTAAAATCCCCTTTTCTCCCATTAACCCCCTATATCCCCCAAAACAATTGGCACTGATGGCAATGCTTTCCAACCCCACACTGCCTTTTGGGGCTGTTTTGGACACACCTGAGAGCACTGGGGGGTTGGTAAGGAGCTGGTGGGTTCAGTGCTCCAGGGATGAGCCCAGTCAATGCTGGGGGGGATGATGGCCAACACCATGAGGAGACAAACAGTGTTGCTCTGCCTGACTTTGCAGTGGGTGCACTGGGGTTCTGGCTCTCCAGAAACCCCTTGCTTTTCACTCAAATGCTCTGGTGTTGGCTCTGACAGCCATGGAACTGGATCCCAGTGCTCCAGGATCCACTGCCCAGCTAGATGCAGCCATGGGCATCGCCAGAGGCAAACTCCTTGAAACGTGATACTATAGCTCATGCATTTGATGTCATATTAGGTGAAAAAACTTTAAAAGACATTTTATCCTGGCCCCACTCAGGCAGTAGCCATGAGGAAAGGATCACTCACACCAGCTTTTAGCAACCAAACCCTGACGTGGCGGGAGAAGCATCCCCTGAAAAGGAAGAACTAGGACCCTGCAGAGCTACACAGCGAAACCTCACGGAGATTACCAGAGACCTCCCAAGGTGAAGGTCCTCCTGGGTGCACCCCTACCTGCAGGGTGTTGACAGGGAAGGCGGTGATGGGGGGAAAGTCCATGATCTGCAGGTCGTGCACGTGGCCGTTCATGACGACGGCAGGCAGGTAGACCCGGCGGGCCGTGGTGGGCACACAGACCTCGCTGAACTCGTTGTAGAGGAACTGCCTGACTATGGCACTCTTGCCCACGCCCTGGGCTCCCAGCACGGCGATCTTGAAGGTTGCCACCATGCCGCCGCGCGCCGGCCGCTGCCCTGGTGCTGCCTCCACGGTGCCGAGGCTGCATATTCCCGCACAGGGGGCTCAGCCCCATTCAGGATGCATTTCCCCTCCGGGACAGCCCGTCACTGCAAGGGCAAGGAGAAGCTGGTCAGATCCTACAGACACCCTGGTGTCACACTCTTGTTGCTACAGGTGTTATTTTTCAAAGAGAAGCTTGTGGAAAAGTCTGTCCTTGGGGAGCAGGAGCATCCTTCAGGGCTGGGCAATGTTCCCAGAAAGGGCCTTGGTACTGAGGGATCTCAGAGTCCCCCTTGGAGCCTCCCACCCCACACAGCCAAGGAGAGGCAGGATTTGAAAGAAGTTTATCCCAGGAAGGTTCTCCCAGGCACGTGCAGCCCTTTCTGTAGCAGAGCAAGTCAACATCCGGGCAAGGGTCTGTCTGCGGTTCAGAGACTGATCAGCCTGACAGCAGAGGATCCCAGGCTGTCCTGGGGACTTGCTCCATAGCACCCATGGAGATTGTCACCGATTGCTCCTTCCCAGTGCTGCCCCAAGTCGGGGAATCCATCTTCCCTCCATTTGGACAGCTGGAATTGCCTTTTGCTGGTGTGGGGGGAAATTAGTCTGTGCCTGCGAGCGACAGCTTTAATGTTTAATTTCAGGCTTTGAGCGGTTTGGCAATTAACTTGATGGAGACTAATTTCCAAGCCAGCTGACGGGGTGAGCCCATGAGCCTCTGGCACATGTGCTGAGGCCAGAGGGGCCCTGGGGCAGGGCCACACACATGGGGGAACACGGGGTGATGACCCACACAGGGGGATGTGGGAGCTGAGTCTGAGGAGCCCAAACACCTTCTGGCACTGGGTTCCTGGCTAGAAGCTATAATGGGAACAGCAAGGGTGAAGGGATAAGTCCCACTTTTGCTCACACATCACTAGGAAGCAGTTTGTGCTTTATGCCAAAGCAAGGATGCTTTGACCAATTCGTGGTGCTCTGGTCCATTTCCTCTAAAAACCATCCCTGAAGCACAAGGCAGCAGCCCTTGTGCTGGCAGAAAGTGTTGGGTTCAAACACTGTTGTGCCTGTTTCATGGGGATTATTTGCCCCAGGGGAGCCTGGGCACGGTGGTTCTCACTGCTGGTGCCAGAGTGGCTGGGCCTCCCAGGGTCCCCCAAGCTGGGCCATGGCTCACACCATCCTCACCCTCCTCGCAGCAGGACTGGGGACCCTGGCACACTGTGCTGCTGGGACTGTCCCCGTGGTGCTGACTGCCTCCAGCCCTGGCAGCAGGAGTGTTTCCATGCCAGATGCAGGGAAATGGGGGGTGCAAAAGCCCCCACACCCAGCCCTGCTCGGGCCTTTCTCTACCAGCAGACAGCACTGTCATTGCAAGTCCTGGGGGGCCACTCTGCTGCAGGGACAACCCTGTCCCCACAAAGCCTTCCTCAGCAGCATCCCCAGCTCCTCTGCGGGGCTGGAGGGTGATGGAGAGACACAACTGGAGAGACAGTGCCTGCAGATCTCCCTGGAATTCGGGTGCAGACTGAGCTCTGCTATGCCACCCCAAACCCCCTGCTCCTCTCCACGCTGGCACACAGGGACCATGCACGGGCCCCAGCAGTGAAGCTTGCACTCCAAAACATCAGAGGCCAACCTGATAGCTCCCGACCCCACGAGCATCACACGGCAACCACCGTGGAAAACTGAGATGCAGACCCTTCGTGGACCCCCCGGTGGGGTGATGAGCAGGGACCAGCCGGGGTGGGCACAGTGGGCTGCAGGACCGGGCGGGGGCTCGCGAGGGGCTCCCGAAGAGGCTGCTCCGGCCCCCGGTGCGACCTTGG